GATAGCTTGCTTCGTTTAGCAGCGTCTGGTCGTCTTTCCTTAAACTATGGGACCAAAATGTACAACATAGCAATAAAGAAATATAGTACAATGAAAATTTCGGTTCCTTGCTAAACTTCGTCGTTCTTTTCCAGCCGTCCTGGAAAAGAGAGAAAATAAAACGTGTGAGTGCATGTCGGAAATACACTCGTACTTGCGTAGGGACACAAGATGGGCGGGAAAAAAAATAAACTAATACACTTACAAACAGCGTAAAAGCGATCAGGAAAAACAGTGTTTTTTTTATATAAAAAATATATGTATACGCTCAAAAAAAATGTTGTTTTTTTTGTTTTTTATATAAATAAAAAAATGAGCATATTAAAAATTTTTATAATAAACTATGAAAAGGTAATTCAAGATAAAGCTTATGTCCTACGTGCAATATTCGTTAAGATGTTCTGGAAATCTTACTCGTCTTCCAGAACGCGTTGTTTTAGGTTTTTCTATCGACGTTGACGATGTATCAAGTTGTGTGTCGGTTGTCGTGTAGGATACTACGAGTGTAGTAGCTGTGTCGTTTGCTTGTACCGAAGGAAAATCGACGTAGCTAGGGTTTCCTTCTAGGTACGCAGCTTTGAGTCTATCGATACTGATGCTATCTTTCGTACCGTTCTTATCAACTACATAGTACTTAGGTTCGCGTTGAAGAACTTTGAAGGGTCCTTCGTATGCTGATTCGAGGGGTCGTCGATGTGAGTCTCGACGAACGAAGACGTGTGTACTATGTCGTAATTCGGGTTGAACGAAAACATCAGTTGATTGAGGTCGAGTGTGAGCAGGTTTAACTGAACGCATAGCGTTTGTAAGCCTACTCGTGTAAGAGTTTAGTTCCATGATCAATGAAGAAGCTGAAGGATCCACGAATTCTCCTGGGAGTCGGAGTGTCGTTCCGTAAACGAGTTGAGATGCCGTGTATCCAATGTCAGCTTTCACTGCATTGCGGATACCTAGCAAGACGAGTGGAAGAGCGTCTGTCCACTGTGAAACGTTTGAAGCTGATAATGAAGCTTTTAATTGTCGATGAAAACGTTCTACCAACCCGTTTGCTTGTGGGTGGTAGGCGGTCGTTCGGAAACGCGTGATTCCTAATAGTGAGGTGAGACAACGGAAAAGTCCAGATTCGAATTGGCGTCCGCGGTCTGTAGTGATTGTGGAAGGGCAGCCGAAATTTGCTACCCATCGTTCGACGAAAGCGCGGGCCACGGTTTCAGCAGTAATGTCCTTAATCGGTACTGCTTCTGGCCATCGAGTGAAACGGTCTACGCATGTTAGGAGATATGAGTATCCGTTCGAGTCGGGTAAGGGTCCTACCAAATCTAGATGGACGTGGTCGAAACGAGCGTCAGGGGTTTTGAAAGAACCTAAGGGACATTTGTTGCGTCTGATTACCTTAGATTTCTGACAGCTTACACAGGAGCGTGCCCACTCCCTCACGTCTTTATTCATGCCAGGCCAACAAAAGCATTCGGCTATAAGTTCGATTGTTGCACGAGCACCTGGATGAGAAAGATTGTGCAACGTATTGAAGACGTTGCGTGGATAATGTTTTGGTACAATTGGACGATCCCTACCTGTAGATGTGTCACAGAGTAAAGTTTCCTTACCTGTTCCCATCTGCTTGATACTTAGTTTTAGAGTTGTCGAGGATAACTCATGCTGAAGATCAATGTCTTCTTTTTGAAGCTGAGCGAGTTTAAGAAGGTCGATTCCTTGGAAACTGTTCAAGGAATTTATTCGAGACAAGGCGTCTGCGACTACATTGTTAGCTCCAGAAATGTGTTGTATGTCTGACGTAAACTGCGAAATGTAGTCGAGTTGTCGAGACTCTCGCGGTGAGTACTTGTCTGAAGATGAATTTAAAGAGAAGGTAAGAGGTTTGTGATCGGTAAAAAGCGTGAATTCTCTTCCTTCGATGGAATGTTGGAAATGCCGTACAGCACAATACATAGCTAGGAGTTCCCTACCGAACGTGCTGTACCTAGGTTCCGCGTCTGGCAACCGTCTCGAGAAAAATCCTAAAGGTTGCCACGAGTTGTTAACCCATTGTTGTAAGACTGCTCCAATTGCTAAGTCGGATGCGTCTACGGCGATACTAATGGGCGCTTGATTGTCCTGATGAGCAAGCAGGGTTGCCTTAGCGATATGTTCCTTAACTGTGGAGAATGCTTTACGGGCTATGTCGTCTAAACTAATTGATTTCGCATTTCCACGAAGGTGATCGGTTAACGGTTTCATTAGGGATGCGCATTTAGGTATGAACCGTCTATAGAAACTTACGAGTCCGTTAAAAGTTCGTAAATGCTTGATCGTGGTCGGTTCTGGGTAATCCAGAATGGCCGCCACTTTGCTCCTAAGGGGTCGGATGCCTTGGGCATCAATGGTGTGTCCTAGGAAGTCTAAGGAGTTTGTTCCGATTTGGCATTTCTGTATGTTGACAGTAATGCCATGCCTTTGGAGTCGATCGAAAACAATGTCCAGATGCTTGAGATGCGATTCTCTGTCCGGACTTGCTATTAGACAGTCATCAACATACGCATGTACGAAGTTGAGACCTCGGAAGACGTCGTCTATAAACTTTTGGAAGGTTTGAGCCGCATTTCTTAAACCAAAAGGCATTTGTAGAAATTCGTAAAGACCGAAGGGAGTGATGATGGCGGTTTTAGGAATGTCGTCAGTTGCCATCGGGATTTGTTTATAAGCTTTAACCAAGTCGATTTTCGAAAAGACAGTTGTACCTTTCAAGGTAGCTGTCAAATCGTGAATATGAGGCAGCGGGTAACGATCGGGAATGGTTTTAGCATTCAGACGCCGATAATCACCAGTTGGCCGCCAATCGTTCCTGTCCTTTTTAGGGACCATGTGCAATGGGGATGCCCATGGACTATTCGATGGTCGAATTATCCCTAGGTCCATCATGTGGTCGAATTTGTTTTTAGCTAACCTAAGCTTCTCGGAAGCGAGTCTTCGAGCTTTCGAAAATACAGGTGGTCCTGTAGTCGAGATGTTATGTGTAACATTGCTGGTTACACAAGGCAATTTCGATTGCGATTGGTATATCCCGGGGTATTTGTCGAGTACTGATTGGTACAAGGGGTCTATGGTGTGTTTAATCGTGACTGGGGATAACCAGCAACCAGAACAAGGAGTTACGCTAACAGATAACTTAGTGTTTCCGTCTATTAACTTTCGTGAGCGTGTGTCGATGAGTAGATTGTGGTGTTGTAACAGGCCTATACCAATGATTGGCATAGAGACATCTGCAACCACGAAAATCCAGTGTATGGGTTTGCGTAAACCCACGTTAAGGTAGACGTACCTTTTACCGTAAGTAGCGATCGGCTTTCCGTTTGCCGCCTGTAAACTTAAAACAGACTCGCGAAGTCTGTCGTCGGGATTTGCTAGAAGAACGCAAACTTCTGCGCCAGTGTCGACGAGGTAGCGAAATTTCGTGGTCACATCCGTGACATATAAAAGACGGCTGTGTTCGCCGGCTACGGTTGCCGTTAACGCGTGCCGGCTGGGAAGTTTCCAGAAATCTTATTCGTGTCAGTCGATTTTGGAGTCGGATAATTGCAAGGTTTCCTGAAATTTCTGGAAAACTTACCGTACTGGTTATGATACCAGCACCAGTCGGGATTGTCTGTCTCTCGACCACGAGAGACAGATCGTTTACGTGAAGCGCTTCTACGCGGGGTTTTTGACCGACTACGGTCATTGCGAACTCTAAGATATCGTGTAAGCGTGTGACATAGTTCGGCCATGTCAGTCGAGGTCGATTGGGGTTTTTCTTTGATGGAAAAAACCGCGGCCTTAGAAAATTTCGTGATTTCCAAGATTCGATCGGCAGATGCAGCTAGTTCATCTATGGCATTGTTTTGAAATGAAACAAGCACTGTCTGCACCTGTTGAGGGAGTTTAGACAAGAAAAGTTGTCCAAATAGGCCATCATCGAAAGTTCGTTGGCCGATGACTTCTCTCATTCTAAGCAACACGTCCGTCGCAGAACCATGTTGCAAGTCGATAGTGTTAAGGAGTTGGTCTAACCGTTGTCGATCAGTTAGGTCTCCTCGTTTTAAAATCGATAGCTTAAGCGTTTCGTAATGTTCGGGAACATCACTAGTAAACATACTAGGTGTTACGTACCTGTTAAACTCGCGCGGTAACGCCTTAACTACCGCGAGGAAACGTGTGCGCGAGTCCGTGATTCCGTGCATGCAAAAATCGGCTTCTGCATAGCAGAACCAGGACTCGATATTGTCGGGCCAAAATGGCGTTAACTGAATCGAAGTAGGGGGAATAGACTTAAACTTAAGAACCTTAGGAGAGTGTTCCGTCATAGTAATATAGATAACGAAAAATGTCTAAAATATATCCGAGAAAAAAAACTGCGAAAAAAAGTATATCACAATATATAAAATTCAAATAAAGAATAACAATGAATAATAATATTCCAAAATGGAACAGACTCATAGTATATTGACTTGGTGTGCCAGATCACGTCGGGTTCACCAATGATGATGCAACGGATGTTCTAGTTTTACAACTAGCTACCAGTAGCACCTTCTATATTTGATCGTTCCCAGTCAGATAGAAATCAGAAGTCAGACGAGAAGAGGCAGGAAAGATATATTTGATTCGTTACCAATATATTGAGGACCTTTTCTATGAGCTGGCTAATGAAACGTAGGAGCTGTGTCCCACGCCGTGTTGAAACGTGATCTAGTGCGGATGCATGACCGAAAGCCTTCAGCTAGACAAGTCCACTTAAACAACATGGTCAGCATCCAATGTCGAACACTTAATGAACTATTGATTTTGGGGAATTATTTACAGCTACACCAACATGAATTGGTGTCACATACTTTATTACTCTTTATATTATTAACCATTCTCCTCCATCATTCGACTTCGAAATAAATATAATAAAAATAATGTCTTACCGTAACAAAGAAATTTCTGTCGATACTTAAATGCAGAATGTCTCTTTTTTACCCAACCAAATTTATATTCCACAGAGTGTTACTGTTTGAGACCTCTAACAAGTAGCATCAGACGCACTGTTTGTAGTTTTGAAGAGGCAGCTGGATCCTGAAAGGAAATCACACTATTGATCAACCAACTTGTAATCCCTGTTGACAAAGTTATGAAATTGGATCATGAATGTTTTGTTAACAGGTACTCAGTTTGTTTTCAAGGTTGGCTAAAATGAGATCAGTAAGATGTGACAAATGAATTGGGCTGTGGGCGCTAATTGTTACTTACTTCGGGCTGTTCTCACACATGGGAAAAACTGGGACCTTGTCAGTGAGTCATTAAAAACGTCTTGCAAGACGTTCTTGAAAGATGAAAATATACAGGATCTTTCAAAACAAGTAATTGAGACATTTGAAATTACTGGTTATAAGTAGAGTTGTTCGCTTCAGTATAAATATATTATTGCATCCGCACGTCAAAGGTATTATCCTCTTGTGTTTGGTCGAAAGTTCTTTAGAAATCCAGGCGATTTAACAGAGAGCCAACTCTTAAACATTTCACTAGACCATTATACTACGTTGAGACGTGAGCAGTTGCATGCTGCTCGGTTGGAGATCTTGCGGGCTATGAAGTAAGACTCTAGTGCTGGTTAATTATCAACTCTTAGGATTGAGGAAGAGGATGCGGAGAAGTTGCGACAAGGTCGGTATTCTGAAATTCCTCCAGACCGATTACTAACGTGAGCTCTCTTTACTAATATTTATTTCCCTTCAGTTACAGGAAAAGATGTCGTGCACTCGGGATTCCTGACAAAATAGGTCGTTGTTTAAATATGGAACCATTGTCTCCTGTTTCAGAGGAGAATGACCGGACTATCAGGAATTTCCCCACTACAGTGCAACGGTCAAATACTAAAATTAGGAAAGAAACAGTTGACCAAAATGGCGGTATCTGGATCCCTGTCGAGACCCCTTTTATTTATGAGTTGTTTGAAGAGAGATGTGATTACATTCAGGAGTCATCGTTGGCCAACTTCATACGTGCTCAAGGTAACACTTATCAAGACTACTCGTTAAGAAGGCATATTATTGCATTTTTTCTCTCAGACACACGGGGTTCATTTGCAAGTCTTATCGAAAGACGCTAAAGCTATATCTCTTGTTGCCTACGTTTGAGTTCGATTTCCTATGTATCAGTCTCCCTTGTCTTTTTAAAGTACTACCTATCTTTTTGATTCCCTCTCAAAGTCCTTTACAAAGATATTTGGGCTAAAGCACTAATTTATTCAATAGTATGAATACCTAGCCTTCAGTTCTTAACTAAAAAAGATATGCATCGTAGTAAATTCCAGTTTCTTAGGTGAAGTCATCAAAGGAACTAGTACTGTTTGTTTATTTGAAAATTTTCATTCGTTAACTATTGAGTGGAAGAAATAAAATTGCACTGAACCTGTCCGTATATAACATTCAAACCTAATGATGAGCTTAGAAGTGATTATTCTTAAGATATATGAAAGAGTGCAAAACCCACCAAAAATATATATTATTTATAGAGGAGCATGTTTCCCACCATCAAAACATAAAAGGATCCAGGCCCTTTATTCTCTTGTGTAAGAGATTAAAAAGTGCGTGTAGACTTCACAACTGCTCTTCGGATTTACTGTGTTGGTCTATGGAGCGGCCGTCAGCAGTGGCGGGCAACGAAAGCAAAGGAAATGGAAAATGCAGCGGCTATCGGTGACGCCAGACAGCTTCTAAGACTAATAAAAGAAACTGGAATTAAGAAGACAAGTGTAATTGAGACAATGGCCGCAAAAGATAACACTTTCAAATACTCTCAGTTCAGACGTTTAAAAATATAGGCGGAACACTTTAAGGAGCAGTTCAGCTGGCCTTCAGCTACTCTACAACTACCCATTTTCAAACAGCCTGAATGGAACAATAAAGTAGACTCCCTGACTTCATCAAAGTTCAAAAAGCCATAGCTAATCTGAGACGAGAAAGAGCAGCTGGTCCAGATGGATTAACTCTAGAGGTCTTTAATGATGGTGGCTCAGTTTTAGCGGCTAGGTTAATTAGTATTTTAACTAAAATCTGGGAGTTGGATGTAATCCCATCCGACTGGTCTCAGTCACAGATTGTCCCAATATGTAATAAGGGGATGAAAATCATCCTGTGATAACCATATAGGGATTAGTTTGACTAACATAACATTTAAAATACTAGCCTCAATAATTATCGGGCGCCTAACTAAGACTCGTGAACTACAAACACGAGGAAATCAGGCTGGCTTCGGGCCTGGTTGTAGCTGTGTCGACCACGTATTCACTCTTCGTTAGGTTTTAGAACACAAGCATGCTTATCATTGGGTAAGTAATAGTGAGGTGAGGTTTGACGCAGGTTACTTGGAAATGGTGGTAAGTCATAGCCCTTAAAGCGTTTTGAACCGACCACATCACAATATGCTGTTCTAAGTTATCACTTACAATTTCCGGCATTTATTTTTAATGCAGTGCTGTATGTGTAATATTCCACCCCTAAGGTGATTATAACTGAATAGTCGGCACCACTGCACCTCTTCTGATGTTAATTGTGATTCACAAATCTTTGAGAACACGAGTGGATCACCCAAATCAGCTCACTTGATACACCTACATTATGCGTCTACGAGATGTCTTCATCCGAATGTTTGTAGGTGTTCTCCCTCTTATGAATACTTGTTGAGATGGCATAAAATACCGGGAGGCATTGAACATCACTTTCCTAATACCTGATTCGTATGGAATACACACCCAGAACTACACCAAGGATAGAACCTAGGGTTTGCCGGATCACTAATCGATCTTTAGAATAACTTAAAAAGCGGACGTTCATACGAGAGGAACTGAAAGAGATGTTGGGCTATGTCTCTCTACTAAAACTTTCGAAACTACTTATTATGCTCTTTAGCTTTAGTGTAAGTTTGATTTTTGTGAACATGTCCTACACTTTTACCGATTCATTTTACAAATCTCTTCCACTGTGATTTTATTTTTCATTTTCTCTCATTTCGCTGATAGCTATTATATCACAGAGACTGGGTTTCGAAGGACATGATGATGAAATCTCAAGTCTAGATACTACATCATCAATCCAGACTCACTCAGAGGTATGCATATACAAACGTTCCTGTTTTGCTCTTGTAGTTAGTTCTGATTTGATAATACATTCTGCATAAATACCGAAGAGCCACCAATATCACTGCTTGCTTCAAAGTTAATCATTCTTGTTGTGTATCTATTTTTAGTGATATTTCACATCAAAATGTTTACAGTTTCATCGACATGCAATTCATAACTAGATATGGGCTCAATATACTGAAGAATTTAGATCGTTTCTTTACCTTTCAGAAGTGTGTATTACGTTAGTTTATCAATCATTCCAAGATCACTTTGTAACATGTTTATTATCAGCTTCAACTTGCTGTTACTGACTAGAATCAATAGTGTGGCGTTTGTTTGACGTACATATTTTTGCAAATGGGCGAATACCATGAAATACATTAATAAATAAACACATCGATTATGTTCACATATAATTTAACTTGTTGAGAGTTTATTTAGGAATAAACGCCATGGTTTTCTGTATTTTGATTTCTTGCATATTTACCTTCTAAGGTTACAATTATCCATAACCAAGAAGTAAAAGTCAGAGAGTCACCCAGAGCTTCTGAACAGCTTAATAACTTAGATAGCGACTCAAGCAAAATAAGAATACAAGCAAGCCCTTCCAAGTGTTTGGAGATTCTGGATGAACCGGTTACTCCTAGTAGTTCTGCTCTTGTAAGCGATTCGGAAACATTGGCTTCTCCACACTTCACTCAGAGCCTTAATTCAAGTCCTGCATTAAGTCTTGCGGAAACTCAATCACCATCCTTAAAAGCCGTTAATCTAAGCCGAAAGCATAATCATACAAAGAGGAAAATACATACTCCTGCTGCTGTTTATCAAAACCAAGTGGGAGAGTTCACTTCAGGTATTATTTTTTTGCACTGTTATAAGTTCTATTTAATCAATATATTTGTAGTGGGTGAGAACACAAGTGGGGACAATCGAATGTATTTGAACACAAATTTACAGTATGTCTTAATAAAATCGGAGAGCAGTAAATACTTCATTTGCAAAATGGCAATCAATTGACTCAAACTTGACTGTTCCTTATTTTCCACACCAATCACTCTCTGTTCTCATTCGTTTCTCTTCCATCTTCTTAGCCTTCTGCCGTCAGGTATTTCACTTTCGATTGATTATACATACTACTTATATCTGTCGACATCAGTAGCACACACCACACATTCTTGCCATTCATTTGTGGAACTGATCACACTGATACTCAGTGAGAGATTTGTATCAGGAAGATTTTGTTGACGTACGCTGACGTCTCTTTTTTATTGTTTACTAATAATGACTTATTTGTTTTTATATTCGAATTTGATAGCTCTCAGTCCCTCAATGTCTACCAATCTCAATAATGATGAACTTACAGATGCATCTCAGTCATCAGTTTATGTGGCCCGACGATGGAGAAGATCTCTTTTATCAGCACTTTCTACAGTGTACAGCCATCGTCACGCTTATGTATTTATGCATCCTGTAACTGAAGATATAGCTCCCGGGTACAGTACTGTTGTTTATGAGCCAGTGGACTTAACGTCTCTTAGGCGCCGTATGGAATCCTCACTCAGTTACTTGATTGGTTCTCAGCAGCCTTCCGCTTTAAATCCATCTGTTTCTTCTTATCGGGTTATCATCGAGATCGCAAGGCGTTTCATTCGTGATCTTTTGCTAATGTTTATGAATGCAAGAATGTACAATAGTCAAAGTCACGAAGTCCATCGAATGGCTGGGGAGATGTATCATGATGTAATTGGTGAAGTAAGTAGTCTATCTTAATCGTTTACTGTCAAGCAGTTATAGTGAGGATTTGTATAGTAAGTATTAAAAAACTAAAACTAGCTGTCCGATTGGGTAGTTGGAGTCTGCGTGATGTTTTCGATCAGTGGTTGCAAACGCTGGATAACGTGACTCAAAACCTATCTTAGTAGTTAAGACGCGCTTATTCCTTTTAGGTGTTGAGTTACACTATTTTTTCTTGTATGCCTCTTCATTCCTTCTCAAATCATGTTCCCAGTATTTAGTCATTTTCATTGATACTGCGTTATTTTGATCCCCATGTTGTTTTTTTTATTTTGGTTTCATCTTTGTCTTGATATGGTATGGTCGTTTGGGCTAACTCATATTTGTACCATGCTCTGTTTTGACTATAACGTAGGGAATAAACTCATCATAACGAAAATGGTTTCAGATGTCTATCCAGTTCTACCCAAATCCATACCAATTGCTTCAGTTAGATGCTTATTTCAGTATGATATATTTTATTTTGTGGCTATTGTGTATGGTTTTCATATTTCCTTTTAGTTTGTTAGTATAAATCTCACAAACACGCGTTAGTTCTTTAGAATATCACCATAGCTTTTCTAGTTAATTCTTTTATAGAGGATGTAAAAGTTGAGTAAGATAATGTTTGATTTCCTCTTAGTTTGCTTTGGCACATCCGGTTGTTACTTATTTTTCCAGATATATATATATATATATATATTTATATATATATATATATATATATATATATAGAGAGAGAGAGAGAGAGAGAGCATCGATTAAAAAAATTGGTCTGAATATCTAAATTACTTCCTTTTTCGCGTTGAATTTATCAGATGTGTCTGAAGTTGTGAAGATATAAGTGGAGCACTTACTTCCCACAATTTTTGTTCATTTCAATACAACTCACCTTTTGTTTTTGACACTGAAGACTACTACTGTAAATGGACGCTGTGAGAGAAACAGTTATTTATGATTTCTTAGACGTGTTTTCATTTTGTCATATTCGATTGCGGACTACATCAGGAGTGAATGCACTATTTTATCTCTTCATTTCAGACTGTTGAACTCCGAAAGTACCACCGACCATCTTGTGTCGTTCCTAAAAGTTTAGTATTTTGTGGTATTAGCGAGTCCGAATATGTTATATCTTAATATTCATCGCATAATTTATACATTAGCTCTAACATCTAAGTTCATCTTGGAGATTTTGAATTTTAAAGCCTTCCTAGTATCTAAGTTTCGTTAAATAAGACAAACATGTCCGGTTTTAATTATTTCTACTGGTTAGCTACATCAAAGAAATTGTTCAGGGTGATATAACAACAAGTAACAACGAGGCTAGGCCGTTTAATCCAAAATTTTTGGTATATAAGTGGTTATGTCATCCTCGAATTTTAGACAGTTTATGATAAGTGTTTGGATGACATTTTCTATTATTTTATCTCAATGCTATTTTTGCGCGTAGCATTTTCCCGCCTTTGGTAGTTCTAATAAATAGAAATTTTATTTGCGACATATCCCGTTCACATTCACAACTCTGTGTCACTTCAAGTAGCTTAAAATAATATTTGTTTATTCTTGACATCAGTCCACTCTATTCGTCGTAAAATTATGTATTCAACAAGTTGTCGGTTCTCTTTCATTAAACAACTTAGTAATAGCATATTGAAATCAGGTTTTTTTAAAGATTGTAATTAGCAATTTTTCCCTCCGAAATTACGGATAAATTTGAATACTGTGCTTTTCATTTGCCGAACACATATTGATATCTTTCTGTTATTAAAAATCAGTACGTATAAAATGTTTTGCTATTCAACGTATCTACAAGAAAAATTTCCGAAAATAGTTGTCATATTTCGTTTTGCGCGGTGTTATGATCTGTATAACTTGGTCGAAACGATCGGGAGATACCTTCAATATGAGAACAGGTTTATGGGATTAGATAAAGTGGACGATTCTTACACAGCAACACCTTAACGATGGCTGTTACAGGGAATAAAGAAAGAAGTTGGAACTTTCAAATGAGCTTTTACTTCTCAGGAAACGACAATTATGTGGGTAGTTATCACGGTATTTATTGTATTATGGTATAGTTTTGTACCAGATCAATAGAAATAGGCTTATGTTTCGTAACATTGTCACATTTCAAAATCCATGGAAGGTCATAATAACACTAGTTTAGGTTAATCCGAGCACTTGTTCCATATTTTCAACTACCAGGATTTATAGCCAAATCCTCCTGCACATTTATGACAGGTCTGTACCTGGTTTCTGATTTATTCTTGATTTTTATATCACAGTTGTTTTGCTCATTTGAATTGTGTACTTTGTTTCATATGTCAGATAACCGTTGTCTTATGATTATGTGTGAAGTCACAAGTATTCCTTTTCTTCACCAAAGACGAGTGTTCGTTTTATCATTGTCTTATTTATTTATTTTTGTGCTTGTTTTATCCTCCTGTTCGTTATTCTACTGGTCATGACCCCATTTTTTGTAAACATTTTTAAAGAGCGTTTCGTTAGCAAGCATATTTCCTGAAACTGTTTTCTGTGGGTTCTCTGCAAATTGTTGTTAATTTAGGTGACATAGTTATAATTAATACCCTGACTTTGCCAAAAGATTGATTTTTCATATAAATCTCTTGAAACTTTTCAGCTTCAACCTCTTTGGTCTATTATGGCTGAGGACATTCCAGGATTCCCATCTTTGCCTTTCTTGAATTTACCTCCTCCACAGACTACGCGATCCTTACAGCAACCTACTGTAGTGTCGACTGCCTCAACTACTAGTCCCTCACATCCTGCTTCATGTATGCTTAAAGATGAGGAGTCGAGTGCTAACAAACAGTCTTTTAGTTTTTTTATGAGGCAAAACAAACGTCCTGCTCTTGAAGTAAGCGTATGCACATATATCTTACGTTTTTCAATCTCATTGTTTTTTAGTAGTGGAGCAGTGTTTGTATGGCCAGATCGTTTGATTTTCAGCCACTAGGACCAAGGTCCAAACCCCGTTCCATCTACTTCGGTCTGAGGGGTTGTGTAGTGTCATTAACCCTCACAATTAAAGCGTGGATTCTATCCAAATAATAAATAATAAAAAAAATAATAAATTCCTTCTTAAAAATCTCGGAGGTTAGTCCATCAAAGACTTTTGCTCTCTCTCGTTTTAAACCACTTATAGCCTTTTCAACCTCACTAAAAGTTGGAGGACTCATATCAGTTGCCATTCAGGTTGCTTGGAGATAGTGGGTAACTGAAGTGCTGCTGAAGGCCAGCTGGTTTGTCTATTAAGTTGTTATGCTCATCGGTCAAATCTTCTGGAATGAAAGTGGACAACAGTCTATTCGTTTTCTGAGTTAGTCTCACTAACAGCCCTTCCTTGATAATTCTCAACAGTTGTTTACTGTTACTTATCGCCAAACACTAAGATAATCAGAAATTCACTTGAATGCTAATTTATTTTGAGCTGACTTGTCCCTCATCCACCATTCTTCTAACAAATTTCAGGGTTTTATTAGTTCTGTAATTATTTAAGAAATGAAAATTTAAATAGTACGGGCTTTTCGCTTTTCAATCAAACCCAAGCTTCACCAAATAACCAAGATTATCAAAGATTATTAGATCCGGAAGCAATTTTGTATTAAAAACTTCAATTACGTTTGTGTTGATGTTGTATATAGTGAGAGTATGAGTCATTCTAACATAATTTCTCATCTGGTACCTTCCGTATACGTGATATCCAATTTTTGTGAAACTGTTCTCACAAATCTTACAGAGTATTCCTATAACTTATGTATGAAATCACTCTTTTTAATCATATTTTTAAACCATGTGTTTTCTTTTGTTCATAAGGCCCTATATTTCTGTTTATATCTCTTTTTCAGGGTTCGTCTCCTTCTAGTCCACTGCCCCGTAAATGTCGTCATTCATCTGGAAGTGATTCTGTAGTCGGAGCTATTACAACGAGATCTAAATAAAGTTATTGCGTTGTTAATAACATTTTGTATCTAAAGTATTAAAGTTATTGTAAAATATAATATTATTTCGTAGCTGGTTTTATTGTCTATTCGTGTTTTAATCTTACAGTTACGTGAAAACTTTATATGTTTCATCTTCTAGAATTTATGAATGCCTTTTAAGCTTAAAGCCATATCCAATTTCGATGTGACAAAAGATGAACGCGATGGGAAGGTGAGTATTTTTCTTCCTTGTTAACTAACCTAACTTCATTTGTATACGTTGCACTTAATGGATTAAGAGAAGTAAATAAGAATTTGGGTAACCGATATTTAGTTACATACTTCTCGTGGAACATAGTCTGCCTATCAGGATTCTCCAACCAACTCTATCCTGGGCTCCCCTTTCAAGTTGTTTTCAATCGCTGTTCGTTCTTTTAATGTCTGGCTCTGATTCCCGACGTAATGTGTTCCTTGGGTCTCCTCTTTTCCGTTTCCCTTCATGATTCCAAGTTAGCGCTTGCCTCGTGATACAGTTTGGTGATTTCCGTATTGTATATCCTGTTCACCTCTAACGTCTTTTCTTAATTTTCTCTTCAGTTAGAAGTTGATTTGTTCTCTCCCACAGTAGGTTGTTGCTGATGGTATCTGGTCAACGGACATTCAGTATCTTGTGTAGACAATTGTTTATAAATACTTGTACCATTCCGATGATGCTTGTAGTAGTTCCCAAGTTTCGACTACGTACAATAGACCTATCATGATGTTCTCATTAAAGATCATGAGTTTGATTTTGTGCGATAGTTGTTTTGAGTTCTGTATGTTCTTCGATTGTAGGAATGGTGCCCTTGCTTTGTTGATCCATACCTTTATGTCTGCATCAGATCTTCCTTGTTTATCTATGATGGTATCTAGGTATGTAAAAGATTCCACATTTCACGGAGCTTTTCCATCAAGTGTGGTTGGGTTGGTGCTCACTGTGTTGCATTTCAGGATCTTGCTTCATACCTTGTGTATGTTGAGGCCTACTGATGCACAGACTGATGCTGTACTGTCTCTTTTCATCTGCACTTTTTCATGTGAATAGGATAGAAGAGCTAGGTCATCTACGAAGTCTGAATCGTCGATTTGTATCTAACCTGTCCATTGTATTCCGTGTCGAAGGAGTTTCCATAAGGTTCTCCTATCCACATTATCGAATACCTTATCATAGTCAAGGAAGTTGATGTATAGCGATGAGTTTCACTCAACTGATTGTTCAACGATGTAGTGTTTTTTATAATCGGTAGATAACTGTATTATTGTATTTCTATATTCTCTTCATTGTAAGCTTACATGGAACCTATTACCTTTCGTTATACTTTTAACTATCGCTTAGTCACTGTCAAATAATTATGCACTGTTTGCTCTCAGCCACATATACTTTATTTTGATTATCAGTAGCTCATTCGTAAAATTATTTCTCAATTTCACAAGGTTCGCGATGTATGTGATCATGCTGTTTGGAGCCTTTCTTCATGTAAACCAGGTCATGGTATCGACCAATTGCTGAGTGAATCTACTGATACATTTTGGCAATCAGATGGCCCACAACCACATTGTGTTAATATCCAGTTTCCCCGAAAAATGGTTCTTTCAAAATTATGTTTATACACTGATTACAAAGTTGATGAAAGTTATACACCTAGTAGGTCAGTGTTTAATTGTTATTATTTATTTAAACACAAAAATATTGGTGCAAGGAAGCATCAGATACATATGCGCCACACAAGTCAAATGAGTTTTGTGTGAGGGCTATGATACTGCCCAGGTGCCCAAACCGAAGCAGGTGGTTTTCCTAGGTGGCCACACCCGGAGCCTTTGACCTAAAAGTCTGATCCACAAGACAGTGGAGCATCGTGAAAAGATGCAGTTCCATGGTAGCCGGTGACCAACGATTGCTTCGGGATACTGGGACCCATGTGCACCATTGGTTTGGAGTCAGAGTTTCCCAACTCCCCTAGGTGGACCCTCCATGTCCACCAACCCGGTTGCAGCGCCGGACATTCACAGTAATGCCACGAGAAGGCAGTGAGTAGGACTTCCCTGACAGAGGCTATATGCGCGTGGTCATGTGGAAGCCTTTCGAGTGGGAGAGCGGACTCTCCCCACTCTCAACCGTACCAGGGCATTTGGGGGCGGTCAGTGTTTAAAGTAGAATATGATCGCACACAGTCTTTTTTTGTGAATGTACGTGTTCATAATATTAGTTGTGAGCATTATAATTCATAACAATAAATGATCTAGTGAATGTAGTAGATATTTTCTATACGTCACCAAAATTATCAGAGAAATTTAAAGATAAAAACAAATGTTTGAGCCTATATCACACTCAAATGCCTTCTTAAAAATTTATCAGGGGATTCATTGGCGACCGGGTTTTGTGCATGCAATAACACTAGATGAATTATATTCTGTCTCAATAGTTTGTAAACAATGTATTCAACCAGGACTTTAAATTACTTACATACAGATATCAATATCTGGGTATTTAGGAATCTTCAGATAGATATATCTACATGTCAATTCAGGTTGTTCGCATTAACTCTAGCTCGGCTTTGGGGTGATAGACCATAATTAGTTTGTCAGAACCCTGGTGGAAACTAAAACCGTAATGCATTAGATATTCGATTCAGCTAGCAAACTATGAATAAAAGGGAACATACATGTCTTATATTCTTCTCAGAAGGGGTTTTTGTGGAGATTTAGTATTTTCATAGTTGAAAGCGTGAATCAATTGAAGCTAGACCACCATGGACGGCCATTTCGTCCTATTGTGGGACTCCTCAGCAGTGCGCATCTACGACCTCGCCTCGCGAGATTCGAACCCAGGGCCTACCAGTCTCGCGCCAGATCACTTAACCGATGGTGTTTATGTGTAATTCCTACCAACCCACGAAGTTGAGCAACCGTTCACCAATTGTCTTCATTGAGTTCCTATCTCACAACAGACGTAGTTTGAACTCCACTGATCACTGCTTCTCACTAGAACTCCTGGATTTACCTGTCGAAGCCAGTCACTAGTGAGCATATGATCATTATTCTATCAGAGCCCAGGACGTCTGTTCCGCTTGAAGTAGCTTTTTTTAACGTAGCATTACTTCGATCTTGATACCATCCTTACCACAGTCAATATGTGCTGTATGCCATTTATTTCTGTCGACATAAGAAGTATGTATGCCGTCAGTTGTTTATTGTCAAACTTTATGCTATGTTTTTACATTTATCTTATTGTTACTCTTGATAAGATATAATAATGAATCTTACTATTACAAACTACATTGTCGATTTTTTAATTTTCTTTTCCAGGTTGGCCATACGAGTTGGGAATACTATACACGATCTTATCGAACTTCTAGAGGTCGAACTACAGGAACCTACTGGGTGGTCAGTGATTCCACTAAACTGGCCTGATGGATCTCCGTTACGGACCTTCCTTTTACAGATTGCCATTTCAGCTAACCATCAGAATGGTCGCGACACACATCTGCGTGCCATCCGACTTCACAGTCCTGTGGAGTGTCGTGGCTTAAACACTTTAGCGCCTTTTGTGAGTCGCGAAGGTCGTGCTTTTATGACTATTCGTTAGTTTTTACTGTTTCTTCTATCTCTTAATTATAATTAAGTTATGTTGTTCACTGCATTTCAAATCATTTGCAATCATAGGTTATTAGTTATACCTAGTTACTTTGGTTAATTTTGTGGTTTCGGCTGTCATATTTGTGCACTTCACTGTATTAGTTTACAGTAGATTATTTGTTGAATATCTTATATTTGTTGAAGATTTAACCACATTGGTTTATAACTATTTAACCATTATGGTGAAGTAATTAAATAATTTCTTCCACCTTTCATTTCTGAAAGTTCAATTTTTTAATCTTCGTCTCATTTAACAGTATATGACAAATATCACCCAGCACTTTCACGCCGAAATTATCTCATATGTGCGTAGAATTAAGAGTATATTAATTTCATCTACGAAACTGGGTCTTTTATTAGTTAATGAGTTGATCTTTCTTTGATGCATTGTACAGGTTTTGGAACTTTCTCCTTTTTGTTTTTTCGCTTATGAAAAAACAGGCTCATTCCCAACACTCCTTTCGAGTCTTAAGTTAGCCGTTAGTTACCTTTTATCCAGAGATCTTTCGTTAGAAGTATTGGGTATCACACATAACAAAGACCATCCTTTGGGAATAATTCGCTACCAGCTGTTATGACTTGTGACCTGTAAATTATCACGCCATAAGTTCGCCAATCAGAACACGATTTATACAATCTTAATACTGTGTCAAACCAATGGCGTGTTGACCGGTACGAGAGGTCCTTATTAAACTAGACTTTAAGTTATCTTACATGAACGAAAACAATTAAGATTCAATTCAAGTGATTTTGATAAAGTGTCAACGACACACGTCACACAGATTGACTGAACAACTAACATTCACTACAAAGTGAGGAATGACGGTTTCGAAGATAATCCAATAACACGTAACACGTGTACAAATACCCTCAAACCAACTCATCCTCCATACCATATCCATAATTTAAATCTGTGTAAATCCGTTGCAGTCTGACTGATTTATAGGATAAGATGTCTCACCAATGCTACATCCTATCAATCCTATGGAATTCATGAGTACACAGGTTAATCTAATAGTCGGATCCGTTTGATGAGCCAACGTACTTAAACGATATACCACCAACCAAACACAATCTAGTTGGTCTATCATACACCATTTTGTCAAACAAGTGTTTGAATATGTAAATTCTGTTATGACTTTTGTCCTGTTAATTATCACGTGGCGAAATCGCCGATCCGAACACCGACTTACATGACCCTGTTCTTTTGCTAAACTAATGACACGTCAAAACAGCACTAGCAGACTTCTGTCAACTCTGAACTCTTATTGGTCCTTCTCGACCAGCACTGTCCGTTGAGTCCAGAAAGCGATCTCAGCCTCCACGGTATGAACAATATATTTCAGACACACGAAGTTTATGTACAGGCAAACCAGACCACATAATACTATGAATTAAAAAATGACAATTATGCAGAATCAAGTTGAGAAGTGGTTGTAATTGTGAGGGACTGTAACTGATGAATTGGAGAATATCTTAAGAATGGTAAATCATACGACATTAGTCAATATGTCTGTTATAACTTGTGGCCGAGTGGACGCCCAGTTAATGTATAACGTGATAAGACCGCCAAACAGAGAGTAGCGAATTATCGATTGGAACAGTGACACACGAAAAGCGTACGAGCAGTCTATAGTACTATTGGTCCTGCTTCTACCTAGCCCAGCCATTTAAGTCCAGAACAATTGCGGTATGAATCATTATATTTCAAACATACTGAGTTTATATACCAATCAAAATGACCACATCGTACGATAAAATAGAAAATAACATTTATGCAACATTTAGCCAAATGTGGGGGACAGCAATTAATAGAATAGGGATATATCAAGAATGGTAAATCGTATAACAATAGTTCATAGGTCAAAAAAGCTTATAATAAAAATAACATCAATGTGAATACTTAAGTTACTCAACAATTATACAATACGAAATATACGTATCATATTGGTCCATAAATAGTTTTCAAGACAAAGCTTATAATAAGAGGGACACGAATATGAATAATTTAGTTATCTAGCAATTTTAAGACAAAAATTATATGCATAATATTGGTACATAAATGGATCCCTAAGTTACCATTCACTATTGTTATCAGGACATAACAATGTCAAATGATAGCTTATGACAAAAGAAATACAAGTTATACAGTAAAGATATTTATGTAATAATAGTCTAAGAATAGTTCCTGGAAGTTATCTATACACTATGTTTTTTGTATATAGCATTACCGTCTTTTCTCCTTAATAAACACGTAACGAAGTTATATAACCACGTTCCATGAGTTGTGTACATTTGGAAGCTGATTTACTTAGTGATCTTATTATTGGTTAGAGAGAAAGGAATAAATCATAAACAAGACATCAGATGAAACAATACTTTTGGTCGATAAAACATCACTTAGACACAAGGCTTCTTAATAACAAAACTTAAGAGTTCCACGACTGTGTAACTTCAGATTTAAATGCTGTTTGAAATGTAGTTACCGATTTCCAGGAGTTGTCTAGGCTTGTGCTATTAACAAGCATCATAATGTGATTTTAGCCATGGTTGACGAGAAGTGTACTTAACACTGTTTCAATCAATGTTGTATCTGAATCGATTGGTAAACTTTTACACACAGTTGTATTCACTAGTTTAGGCACAAAAAATGCGTCAGTATATAAGAACCACTTAGTTCTCGAATGCATGTTCATTGGAGTGGTCTTGGCGAAGGTAGATCCTGCCATTTCCGTTCTCGAATGCTGTCATGTAACATCAGTTAAGTAGTTAGAATAAGGGAAAGAATGATGTTTTTGTGAAGGTTGCATCAGGAAAATCGCGCGCTATTTAAAAGGACAGTGGTATTGTTTCACGTTGAGTTTAATTCACTGTTTTGATCGTAAATTACGTATCAAAACTACCGTTTACACTTTAATTGAATTTATTTCAGTTAACGTGACATTGTGTTTGTGTGTTTTGATCCTGCTTTTGTGTATTTACTGCATCAAAGCATTCTTGGTCGACTGCGGCTTGTTTATTTGATAAGGTTGTGATTTATCTTACATATCTACCTTGTCTATCATTTTGTTTTATTCTAAGATGGTCGGCTCTGTACACAAGTGTGGACAGCCATATTGCTTATTCCCCGTGGAAGAAGGGATGCAATGTGACGATTGTAAGAAGTGGTTTCATAAAATGTGCACCCGCTTAAGCCCTGCTGCCTATAAAAGGTGCTCGAAACCAAATTCTCATTGGCTCTGTATGTTTTATTGCTCAAGTAAGACATTACTCATTCAGGAAGCCATCAGCCTTCTAGCGTTAGCTAAAAAGGTCGACGTAGGCCGTGCCGGCAACATGGATACTGATAATGAAGATTGTATCAGTGTCGTAAATGCTGCCATGGCAGGTACCAGACACCCAATTTCGCAACATGAAGCAAAAATCTGTACTCCGATACAACCAATGAAAGCCATGCCATTAAGTACTGAGGGACCAGTCGCTTTAGCAGCGACTGAGGACCCGGCTAGAACCACTATCGTCCAGAATGGTTCCAATCTGGATGCTGAGAATAGTGGCAAATGGATTACGCGGAAACGCAAAAGAGACGGAAAAATACCCATAGAAAGCGCGCGTATAGTCGATAAGTCATCGTTGGACTCACGTCCTGAGCATCAGGCAACTCCGCTCAAGTCCAAATACTGTTGTGGATGGAAATAGTCTAACTTCACCAAATGTTGTTGGGAGTAACTCGCTTGACCCACATGACACTGTCATAAAGAAAGCTAATAGCAAGAAGCCGGTAGCTAACCGGCAGGATCTGACATCACGGTCAAAGGCCGTGAACACGACGTTTAAGGCAGTTAAACAGGTGCCTAGTGTAATCATCTGGAACTTGGCAGAATCGAAAGACACTGATCCCGCTAAGAGACATGCACACGACCTGCAGTTAGTGGGATCTCTCATCAGAAATATACTGCCAGAGGAGGTCCCAGGGGTACATATCTCGAAAGTCATCAGACTTGGTAAGTATGTTGGAGGCGAAACCCAACAGAGAAGGATCCTCAAATTAGTACTCGGTAATTTTGAGGAACGGGACGTATTACTAAATAACTCACGGAAAACTCGTGACTCAAACATTCGTATTCGACCTGACTGGCCACTTGAGGATCGGATCAAGTGGAAGAATGCCCTAACAGAGTTAAAAACTCGAAGGCTAAACGGTGAAGCGAACCTTACGATTAAGGGTTTTCGGGTAGTCAGGTCTTGGAAGCCAATGCTTCCGAGACCTGTGTGGGTAGAACGCATGTCTCCAAAAACACCCTAAATGTGTGTTATACGAATGCTCGTAGTCTTCGGAATAAGATGTCTGAACTAAGTTTGATGGTAGACGACTTAAATCCGGATATAATTGTTACCACCGAAACTTGGCTCACTGTAGATATAGACTGTTCTCCAGTCATTTCAGGCTACATCTGTGTCAGAAGTGATGGAGTTAGAAGTCGCAAGGGAGGAGGCATAATATTATATATTAGGGACCACTTCCGCATTAACTCGATCGTATCGGAGGCGCATGTAAGTGGTACGTGTGAGGTAGTATGTTGTACAATTAGGTCTAGAAACGGGTTAGTGACGATAGGAGGAATATATGGTAGTCCGTGTTGTCTCGCTGACGACCTTATCCTAAGACACGTCTGTTCTTGGAGTAAAGCAGAATGTTGTCTCATCGTTGGAGATTTCAATGCACCCCATATAAACTGGATAGAGCTCAGAGCACCATGTGGGGGTTTCGATAGCGTCCTTCTGTCATCAATTATTCAATGTGCACTTGTACAATGTATCGTTAAGCCGACGCATATAGACTTGGAACATAATCCGTCATTGATAGACCTTGTCCTCACACACCACTGTGAAGATATCGTTGACATTCAACATCTTCCCCCACTGGTGAATAGTGACCATGTCGTACTTTCCTTTAAGTTCCGGATACATGGTATAGAATTTGCATCAGCTCCACCCCGTCCTAATATCTGGAGAGCTAATATTCCGGCAATCAGGGACTATGCTATCTCAATTGACTGGTCGGTCGATGCTGATGGATCGATTGATGATGCATGGAATAGGTTCAAGTCTACATTCGAATCCGTAACTCAACCGTTTATCCCATGGTCAGCACGTAAGTTATCATATTGCCCTCCATGGATTAATAAGGAAACCCGGAAGCTGTTGAAGCGTAGGAAACACTTCTGGGACTTATTCTTGTCAACAGGTCAGGCATCATTTAAGTGCGAATATAAAAAAATCCGGAATATATGTAAAAAGACCATAGCTAAATCCCGCACGGCTTACGAACGACAGTTGGCATACGATAGCCGTAGCTGTCCGAAGCGACTGTTTTCGTACGTTAAAAGGCGGACGAAACGTAGTGATGGTATCCCCTCATTACTGTTAAGCGAAAATTCAGCTTTATTGGCTGAATCTGATCTGGCGAAAGCGGAGTTATTTGCTAACTATTTCAGTGAAGTCTACTCTACGTGTAGTGTTACAACTACTTGTCCCGTTGACAATGAGATACCAGCCATAGGACCTTTACACGTGACAGAGGATATAGTTCTTCCTTTGATAACTAACCTAAAACCTTGTAAGATACCGGGCCCCGATGGGTTACACCCACGTTTACTGTCGTCGCTTGCGGACATTATCTCAAGACCGCTCACGATGCTCTTCAACATGTCCCTTTCACAGGCTCAACTACCTAGAGACTGGAAAGACGCCATAGTTAGTCCTATATTTAAGGATGGTCAGAGACGGATAGTATCTAACTACCGGCCTGTTAAAATCTGGAGAACAATAAAAAAATGAGACTGATCGTTGTTATCTGCAAGCAGATTTAGACGAATTAGTTAGGTGGGCTCATGATTGGGGCCTGGAAGTTAATTCTAGGAAGAGCGTGTTCATGCACATCGGGCACGATATTAGTTACCACTATACCATTAATGGTACATCTCTGCCACGCGTTCATGCGCATAAAGACTTAGGAGTAATTATAAGTCACGACTTGAAAACTACAACGCACTGCAGTGCGGTTGCTTCCAAAGGCTATCGCGCGCTATGGTCGCTTCGCAGAGCATTTAAATGCTTTGACGAGGATATTTTTCGAATTTTATATCCCACCTATGTAAGGCCACACTTAGAATACTGTATCCAAGCAGCTAGCCCTTGTCTGATAAAGGATACTAAATCGCTTGAGCGTGTCCAGCGTGTAGGGACAAAATTAGTAAAGGGTCTTTCCAAACTCCCTTACGATGAGCGTTTAAAACGTCTAAATCTTTTCCCCTTATCTTATCGTAGGACGCGAGGTGACCTTATACTGGCATTTCGTATCTTTAATTATGATCTGGGTGTTAATATGTCTTACCTTTTTGCTCCCTCCAGCACTAATAATCTCCGGGGTCATAGCAAGAAGGTTCTGAAACCGCGATCTATTAAACTAAAGGTGGGGTCCCGTTTTTCTCATCGAGTGGTCAATGACTGGAACGCTTTACCGGAACAAGTGGTATCAGCACCATCAGTGAACATTTTCGAAAAGAAGCTGGACCTTCACTGGAAGGAAATCTGTCAGGATTATCGAAGGTTCATCAACCTACTATCCTTATTACTGAAGACTGAAGGTCTTTTTATGATTCTGATTCACATTTCTCCTCTATTCAGTGAATTGTCACTAAGCCCTAGCCAAGTCTTCCGGCAGTTGGGTCACTGGATGTCGAACACATCATCAA